TTTTATTTATTTTCAGACCAAAGACTTTGTGAGATTTGCATCAGTTTTTCCTCTGAAAAATTTCGGTGTTCACCCAAACCCCGCCACCTTCCAGTTCGTCATAGGTATAGCTGAGATGATTGGAGGCGTACTACTTCTATGGGGACCAATCAGAATGAAGCAAATAAGTGCGATTGTCTTATTGGTTATTATGGCGGGTGCTACATGGACATTGTTTCAGCTCGGCGAACCAATCGGTTTTGTGATATTTCCAGCACTGTGTGGTTTGGGCTTGCTTGCACTTCTTACAAACCGGAAGTCAAAATTGAAGCTAGAATGATATGGTGTGAATACACTTTCTATTTTTTTTAACTTAATATGTAGTAAAATGGACAATGTCCATGAAACAATAAAGAATTGTTTTCAACCTTTACCAAGGCTATTTTACTTATAGGACTTTCTAATGTAATGTCATCTATTTAAAAACAAACAAAACAACAACAAACCCACACTCTTTGCTTGTATTTCTATAGTTTACTATGACATGATAAGCCCAGATTTGTGAAAGAAACTTGAAACGTCAGACTCACAAACAACATTATGAATGTAAACCAAAACTCTACCTATTGGCTCCATTTGTAAAACGTGCATGCTTTTCAATTTTTTATATTTTTTATGGAAGGTTTAATTGTAGTATGAGACTTGTATAGTTTTGTCCATGGGAATTGTAATAATATATTACAGTTCGAAGGCTGTACACTAACATAGGAGTCATTCGCGAAAAAAAGCATAAACAAGACAGTTAAGTAAGCGGCATTTGTAGTAGTACTTTGATTTTCGCTGATTTCATATAATAAATGCTATACATTGTTATATTTTAAAATTTGATTACGCCCCAATATATGGATGCGGCTGGGGTTCACCATAATTTTATTTCAAGAAAACTTAGTAAAACCAATTCCCCATATCTCAGTATCTTGCCGGACGACATAATGAGAAGCACATACACATAGATATTTATGTATATATGTACATACATATATATAAATATTATAATGAAATCGATATTCTGAAGCTGAAAGCTGAAGCGGATCTGTTTAGAGACAGTCCCAAGAACAGCAGAATTGTACATATTTACACAATCTACCAAAGACGCAACCATCATTAATAGAATACAATCGCAAAATGTGGAATTATCGATGCTGTGAAATATGGTTAGCACATTATTCTCCGTATATTATCTTATCGTGTTTTATTAATATAACCAATGTTTACAGGACTTGTCGCAACTTTATTGTAAATATACGAGTAGCAACTCCGTAGCAACTCCATAATAATGCACTTGATAGGTCAATAGTTCACACACATATTGTTGAACTTGTTACTGTTGATACTGCGCTGTGATAAATATGCGTTTCAACATTTAACAACATCAAATGCCTCCCACGTGTTTGATTTCCGTAAACTGAGAATATAACAGAATTAATCATAGTTGTTCATTTCGTTGGCTTCTCTAATTACATTTGACATATACGCCATGCTGATTTCTATTTCATAAATGTGAGATTCAGACACTATGTTTAGACGCATAGTAACACATGGCAACTAAAATCCTTTAAACAAGACAGGAAAAGCTTATATGACAGCCGGAATTGACGGCGAGTGGTAATATCGAAATACGTGGGAATGCAATCATTCCCATTGCATGTTTGGTATTTTGAACTCTGTTGCCTGGCAACACTTCACGAGATGGCTCAAAGGATAGTGCATATTTGATTTTTGAATTGACTAATAATATTAGTTTTTGCATAGCCTATATTCTGATACCACTATCGAATTTGATGTAAGAAGAAAAACGAAGCTTTCATAAAAGTCACTAGCGACTGTGCTCATACCTATACAATAAACCCGGTGAGAGGTTACAATATTGGTACTACAGAGGATCTAAACCAAAAGTATTACTTTGATTACAACTTCATTGATATTGAAAAACCTTAGTAAGGCCATCACAGGTGACGATCGCATAAAACCAGTCAGCAAACAGTACTATGAAACGGAATATAACTTTACAGGATTTCGGAACTTAACTTACAAATTGCCCTTTAAAATGTCAATGGAACACAAACTTGGGTTTTCAATTTAAGTTACTACATAGGATACTTTATACAAACTGTGACCTGCCCAAGAGAACTATAGATGTGTCTCCATTATGTACATTTTGTAATGAACAAAATGAAACAATTGAGCATGTTTTTTATTCTTGTAGACTCACTGAGACTTTCTGGAATGAATTTTATAATTGTTTTAAGCAAGCTTTAGTTTTGAAATATGTTATATTTTGAAATATTTCTTACTCTGATTAATAACAATCTACTGTTAATTACAAAACATCATAGTATATTCAACAAAGATGAAATACAAACCTTATTTTCCACTCTTTAAATTTTGGGTCAAGTCAAACTATCATCTTGAGTATGAGATAGCAAATGAACAAGATAAACTAGAGGTGCATTGTGGGAAATAGATTACTATACTAGAATTAATTAATGAATGAATGTATTCAACTGTGTAATGTAATCCCTATGATGTAATGTTGCCAATAACATATAAAAACAAAACAGTGAGAGGTTTGTGAAATATATTACCTGTAAGCCACCAGAAAGCCAAAATGCAATCAGACCTCGATTTGTTTTTGAAATGAATTATGTATATTATAAGCCATTTCCCAGCGATTCCATGGCGATTTTTTCTATAATACTTACCATGAATACTGACATTGTAACTTCTTTCCAGACACATTTACTGAAAACGCATAGAATAATTATGGCAAACGTATTCAAATATTACTTAAATATTTTACGTCCATTGGTTAGTTTAAACGCAGCACACTGGGAACGCCCAATAACTCAAACTTTGTGACTTTAGATAGTGTCCACCCCTAGGCTGTTGCATTGCATCATAGAAAAGAAAATACATGTTGAACATAATATTAAATTACAACTCTAGGAGACATACTGCCGTAGCGCAATACCATGACAGGTGCATGCATAATTGAAATAAAAACTGAACAAATGTCGTTTGAGAACATCTAATCTGAATTCCAAAATATACACCACGTACATCACCAATATTCGATTCTATTTTTGTAATATTTAATATTAATCCTAGTCAAATTATATGCACAGGATAAAGCCCGAGTAAGAAGACTCTTCTGGGATACAAAATCCGATTCAAGAAAAAATTTTGAGGCCGCAGGAAGAGGCAGGACATTTTATAGTCGTAGAAGACTTTCTATTCTCAGAGAGTTCTCGTACGAAGGTGTATTTGACCTAAGATTCACCTCAAATCATCCATAGATATATATTTTAGTCGAAAATCTCACAGCTTTGAAGGCATTCAGTGGGCCCCGTAAACAATTCTGCATGAAATTCTCAACGGGAAAAAAACAAACAATAATTTAAATAATTGAAACTAGGAAACAGGACAATATATGTATATTAAAGTCATGCAATGAAACATGCGTTATAATTAAAATGTCTATAATCATGAAACAATATATTACTGCCTAGAACAAAGTATGACTACAGTTTGTTATTGTATTTTAAGAGCGATGCTGAAATTGTATATGAAACCGTTCCTAGATGCATCTAATGAGAACAATCAAAATAAGAAATAATGAAAATAACAGCCCAACAGATAACATAAGACAGTACTATTATTTAAAGATGTTAACACAAATCTTCAAACAATATTGTTTATATGGATGTTGATACATGTGTGGTAATTATTACAACAATTTAATATAGTAAATGTGGATGCGGTAAACATCAATTGTAAGATGCACAACTTGACTTCTTGTCGCTAAATTAGGCAGAGGATACACACGCTTTGCTTTATTCTTTTTCAACGCACATCCAATATGCAAGCGTTTTGAACCCCATACATGTGGGTTGAGTTGGGTTTGTGTATTAATTTAATATCAAAAGAGAATGAGTATGAATATAATAACTGAATAATAGGATACTAGGAATATTGTCGTGATACGTGATACTAGGAATATTGTCGACAGCACAATAGTTACGACGACTAGCATGATGTAACATGTAGTCAGTAAATTGTATCACTCGATATATTTATCTCGATAAATATCTACCATGCATTATGTCGGCACGGAAAGATGAATACAGTCTCCAAATAGAACTAAGATGCATTCAATATGAGAACAACACCAGCTCTCATTCAAATGAACATTTTGATGACTTATATTAAAGAATATAACGATTAAAGTCAGACCCAATGGGATATTACATTAGTAAGTATATTTTTAAAAAGTTGCACCATCAAAGGGGTCAGTACGTGCAGAGTGAAATCATTGTCGCAAGCCTGGGGCATAAATAGCCATAACCATTTTTAAAAACCCAAACCGCTGCTTTAAGAGAGGCTGAACACCGTGTGCTTTGTCAATGTATATTGAAATTCATAAATGTTATCATATTAAAAAACCTTTGGAAGCTGCAATGGTTGTCCTCATTTTTAGTTCACAGAAGGAACAGGCACCTTTCAATTTTCCCACACATCTGGTATTATATCTTTATTAGCGTGCTCTCCCAAGGAGTCAATTCGAAGTGGGAAGATAGTATATATTGGTATATAATACCTAATTGGATACCTTTTTCATGCAGATACTCTCCAGAGATAACTCTGTATAGTAATAGCCGGGGGTGATTCTTTGACTGCAATATGTTGTCGTGGTCGAGAATAATGATAATTCGCAGTGTGTGTTCTTTTGCTCAGGCATGAAAGGGATTCGAAAATTATCTGCGGGATACATGTTCACTGACGCACATTAGTATTATTTGTCCTACTATCTTCATAACGTGTATTTTTTTTTTGTAAAACCTCAGACCACCTCTGCATGTTGCTTCAGACCTCGTTATTAGCTGATATCTCTGTATTGCTGGCTTCATTTTACATGGTTCATCAAGCTGAACGTGTGTATCCAACGTCCATGGTCAGAAGATATGTACGTTAATTTTGAAATTCGTTATTTTATGTTTTATGTTGTTACTTATTGGATGGTAGTTAGCGTAGCACGTGTTGACTGCGTGGTCTATCACGTCTCGTGCTTTTTAGTATGGGATTCGTTTGCTCCATTTGTAGCACCGCTAATTGGGCCTGCCATGCAGATAGCACGCGATCAAATTAACGCTGATACCACGTCTTTCCCCAACATCACGCTTAATTTCACCATTCACGAAACTGGTTGCACAGACGATGGCAAGCTTTGTCTACAGGAAGTCATAGACGGAGTGATCTACAACGAAGTAGCTGGAATTATTGGTCCACCGTGCTCCAATTCAGCGGAAATATGTGGTCTGTTAGCCGCTCACTGGAATGTCCCTATGATATCGTACGTTGCAAGTTCCGAGACACTTTCAGATAAAACTAAGTACGAGACTTTTAGTCGTGTGTCAACGCCGGTATCGAAGGACGTACAGGCATTGGTGGAATTTGTTAGTTCTAATAGATGGCGTCACGTCGGACTTATCAGAAGCGACACCAGTTGGGCAGACATTGTTTATCGGAATATTCAAACCCAACTACACTCACGAAATATCACTATGATATCTGAATATATTGATGATTATTCAAACATCGCTGCGAAAGTTAAGTATATTACCAGACGAGCTAGAGGTAAGAATACACCTATTATATAGAGTTTTCCATTTTTCGTTTTTAAGAGCAAGGTGCAACCCTTTGGTACTTTTTGATTAAAACTCACTTATTTTACTTTTTGAAGAGTACACATCAATGTGGTTATGTTGTGTGACAATTTGAACTTTCTGTTTTCAATACAGCACATCCACGAACTGATCGCGAATACTTTTTTGTAATTGAACTTTTAATATGTAGGACTTTATTTACATAGATGTGTGTAGTGTGTCCATACAATTTATTATACGTAAATGATGACAAGACATTGTGGAAAAACATCAGTAGGTTTTAGAATCGTTGAAAATTGTATATGTCAATTCTGGCACAAGGTGATTATTACGTTTTCTGTTCATTGCTGACTTCATACATTTAACATGTTTTCAACAACCCCTTGTCCAATTGTTTTAGAAATTTCAAATTTCGCATCACATTGTGTTTTCAGAACGATTTATGCATACATTGATATCAAACGCGAAACAATATAAATGAATGAAACACTTACTAAAAGTGTACTTCATCCAGCACATTATCGAATTTTGACTGACCATGTCATCAAAACGGCGACAAATACGAACTTACCTCGACACCATTCTTATCTTAATTGTTAGACATAAATAAAGCCCATTTCACGCATGACAGAAAAAAAAACGCATTTTAAATCTTCATCGCCTATTAGATCATTTATAAGCATAATTAGGTGCATCGTATAGTTGTATTGTCGAATAAAATAGTTGAAAGTCGTTTTAGTGTTGAGTAACTTGGCCAATAATACAATTAAAAAAAAGCACGTATTGTGTTGTTTGTCGACAAAGTCATTGTTTATCTTCTTCGCTACAATAAATCCCATTACTGCTCGGATTCTGCTATTAAATGAGCGAGCGATGTTCGCAGTTCTCTTGGACTCACTGTCAACACGAGTAAAATAGTCACCCTATTAAGTCATAAGGTAGTCCCCTAATGACAATACAAGCAACAAACTCCGTAGTCTCATGAGCATCTCAGCCCAATATAATACAGTTAATCTTTGGTCGTCAAACAGGGAATCTCGCGGGCTATTCGGTGATCTGATGACACCAATTTAATAGGTATTTGCACACACAATAGTACCTTCACCAAGGACAGCCTTTTAGCTTTTTGGAAATTCACGCACGGCCCTTTTCTCGCAGTTGTTTCACTTGAAAATGTGTTACAAAAAGTAATAAAATATATTTGTGACATCTTCTATAAAAACGAATTACCAGCAAGAACTACTTCGAGCTGGTTAACGGTACTGCAGTGAAAAAGGCGTACGTACAAGTGACACAATAAAATTGGGGAAAAACAACGTTTTAGTTTTGAAGGGAAGATTGAATACTGTTTTCTAGTTTTAACGGTTACAACATTTCCGTGCATAATAGCCATTTGACAAAAAACACCAAGTGAGCATAATGTTATATAATCTACACTTGCTAACGTCATGACAATTTTCAGAAGTCATTTCTAACACAAATCACGCAGTAAGTACATCATATATATGAGAAAAGCAATCTGATGGAACACATTGTACAACCTCCCATGGCACCATTTAATTAAACTAAAGAGAATCAATCAGTCGAATTTTGGCAAAATTTTATATTAAAGACATCAGATTACACTGACTGCATGGCTAGATTTTGTCTGACAAGGATTGTCTTATTAGAATAATCTGATCGTGTGAACCAGTCTTGAGATAATGAAAACTCAATCACAGTCAAATCTACAGAACTGCTTGCGGCTATCTTGGAAATAGCGTAACCGTGTAACTACTATTTACGTATATAAGGATCCAAGCTAAAACAAGCCATGCATATCACAGTCCCCGTTAGTTATCAAATTTAAGATATATACGTGTATATTTGTTTATAGTAATATAGCTGGAACATAACTATGTCAGGAATATGATTATGATAATTGTTTAACATTAAAATGATTGACATGTGTATCTGATCGTCAAACTAGTACTTATCCATATTGGGAGATATTGCTCTGGAACAGCATTAATTAAAATAAAATCAGCCATTTTGAATACATGTATATATCTATAACATGATGTATAACGAATAAAATTTGAACATAATTAGTCAAAGCATGTCAGAGATATGGCCCTGGAAGCCCAATCATTAAAACAAAAAGGCCGCCAGTCAGCCATTTTGAATCTGATCTGAAAAATAAAATGATGTGCATCAGGAATCCGTAATGTCTAAAGTATGTACTAAGTTTGAATGAAATCCATCCATAAATGCCAGAAATGCTTGGTATTTGATGATTTTTTAGCACAAAATGGCCACCATTCGGCCATTTTGAATAGGATCGTCAAACCAATATATCTGTGACATGATGTGTAATGAATATTAAAAATTTGAACATAATCAGTCAAATCAAGTCAGAGATATGGGTCTAGAAGCCCATTCATTAAAACAAAATGGCCACCAGTCAGCCATTTTGAATCCGATCTGGACAATAAAATTGTTTGCACCAAGGTCCCATAATGTCTAATGTATATACTAAGTTTGAAAAAAAATCTATTGGTAAACAGCCGAGAAATGCTTGATTTTGATGATTTTTTAGCACAAAAATTGCCGCCATTCGGCCATCTTGAATCAGATCGTGAAACAAATTGATGTGCATATATATAATATCATGTATGATGTATGTGTGAAGTTTGATTATGATTCGTCCAGGAATTTCTAAGATACAGATCCGGACGCACGCACGCACGGACGAACAAGGGTCAAAACATCAGTCCCCGTTTTCGGACTGCGTCCGAGCGGGGACTAATAAAATGCCGACAATACAACTTGATGTTAAAGCGGGGGAGTCGTCACCTACGCATGCGTCAGATGGCCATAACGTGTCATTGTTTACAAATAAGTGTCTACCCATGAGCCTTTGCGTTTTTAGCTTGGGACTCAATTTCCGCACGTGCGCAGTTGACGACCCTCCCGCTTTAATAATACAGTGACGGCCAACTAATGCAAACATCAACGGGGAATATGATAAGGTTCTATGCGTCGTCTCTTAGTGTGCCACGCTATATTACGTAAGCGTCTGGGAGCACGCATCAAATCTATAACTCCCTATATCACACTTTTCCTAACAGTTTGTGTAACTCAGTTCAGAAAATATGCTGTATCAAATGTTCACCACATAGCAGTTAGCTATCACAATCCATATACAATGATGGCGTAGACCTATTTTTGACTGGTCGAGTATCTACGTGTACCTACTGTATGAAGTAATGTTTTTGTAACACTATGATAAAAGACTTTCCGTTTTCGCAAATCTTTCGTTTTGGGGAGAAAACCTAAAAACAACTTATTTCAAAGATATATTAGTTCATAACGAAATATGCACACCAAAAATGATTTTCATAATTACCGATTACACACGAATATAACAGAAACAAATCATTCGCTATATTCTCCATATTTTTGCATTTTATTTGTCCTGAACTATGGCTGAAAGAAATTATACACTATGTAATGTGTCCAACAACTCACGAACAATAACTTTAATAAATATGACTTAGTACTGAGACTGTATTTTCTCGTATAAAAACGAAGAAATCTCAAAAACGAAAAGTCTTTTTCGTAGTGTTTGTTTTGAACACGTCTATCATAACACGTAATTTAGTTTGTAATTTGTACCACAGCTACCTCGAATTAGACAATGATACAGAAAAAAAAAGAAATACACTAATTAGAAAACCACTTTTAAAAAAACAAATCATTCCGAAACCGTACGCAGAATAAGGCAAATTGTTGAAAGGCCAATCTGAGGACTCAAGCGAAAGTCTGAAAAGCACCCAAACTTACTTCTCACAAAATACCAGTGCAATCAGCCAATCATCAACCGTGTTGCAGCTCGTGGTTGTTTACATTAGTGTGAGGGCAAGCCATGGTGTTACTGACCATCATTTCCCACTACAAACCTAAAAGCATCTGGCTAGAATGTTTCAGTTTGTTTGTGATTGCAGTTATTTGAAGCAGTAAAATTGTAAATCGGGTGTGGTGTTGCTGGATTCTAAATGGTCGGTGGCAATTTGCTGATGGGGAAATAATGTTAACCCTGCATCGTGTTTTAAATTAAATCAAAACAGCCAGTGTATAAAAAGCTAGCACCACGGGACATCATAGAGTTGTTTCGGGCTCTGCCCTTACAACACTCCTCTGCTCCGTAGTGGTTTCTGCATCCATTCCATGTAATATAAGGCCTAATTTACCAATGAAGCTCGTCTAGATTTATTGTGTGGTATATTAAGAAGAATAAGAAAACGTAAAACATTATTTGAAGTAAATTATTTTAACTTGAATCAGTTCATGCAAATAATTAACTATAATTATGATTTTACCACATTATTTGTTTCTTTTAGTCATCCTTCTGGCAACACATAGTAGTGACACAAACGCGATCGTCGACACTTCTTATAAGCTTGGATTGACCCAAACAGGGGAGTATCTGTTTTTATCTCTCGACACCACATCGTCATACTTTATAGTAAGTAATAGTTCAGTTGTAGTATTATTTAGAGGCTACACTATCAAGTTTATCGACATTTTGAACATTTTAGATACGGGTGAACATCGGATTTCCCCTGCGATCGAAATTGTTTTTGTCCAAAAGTTGGAATTTCTTCCAAAAAATGACAATGACTTCATACTCATTTTGAATGTTCGGTGTGTAAAGCAACTTCATTGAAGCAGACGATTATCGGCGGTGAACAATGATTATGAGTGTGGTTTGGCAGACGCAGACAACTATCGGTCCGATTTTTTGGCCCAAAAAATAATAGGTGCGAGTAGATTCATTGAACGTAGAATTTTTGTTTGATCTCCCATGAGTACATTCATAGCATAGCGTTTGTTTCGAAACCTTTGAAGGTAAAGCGCGGTG